TCTCCCGATTAAATACGCAGAGAAGTTTAGGGTTTAAAGTGCATACTTAAGTGGGAGATTAATGAAGATGTGTAATAAACATATTTGAAATGTTACAATCCATATTTCAATTGTAATATGATTTCGGGTAAGTGATGTTATCAGTTTAGTTTCATTGGACCAGTGTTCTCATCTTTTCTACACACCTTCTTGGTCACTTATTGTTAATTAAGGAGCGGGTACATTTTATTGTGTTTGCTATTTGTTTACTAATGATGAGAATATAAGATTGTTTTCTCATAAACTTAAGTCGGGCTTCATAAAGGCTTTTCAATCAGCCCTCTGTTTCGGGTTACGGTTGATGTAGAAAAGTTGTGACAATCTCGAAGTTCCTAAACCGCATTCAGAGCCGACTCTCAGAATTCTCCTCGTTTAACACACCACTAACGCGACAATACAACCTTTTGGGGATCTGTAGATTTGTATTTACATTTGGGGGAGCCGCCTCCAGGCAGTGCATTATTTCTCAACTTCTTTAGCGCAAAAGTACAGTGGCACTTAAAGGTAAAATCTATTTGCCTCGTTAAGTAGACTGTTTAGACTGTTGGGACAGAAAACTTAGAGCAATTATCACGCAACGCAGAGCTGCTGCATTACGCGCTTGGTTTCCTTAAATCATGCGAATGCGCCTCGACTGTCAAGGTGTCAACCATTTGTTCACTCACTTTGAGAGCCTGACAGAAGATAATTAGCGAGCCATGAGAACGCGGTAACAGTTCATCACAAACCGGACTTCCGCTTTTGTCTTTAGCCAGGGCGCTCAGGCGCGGGTCAAGGCGTTTAAACGTCATTGGGAAGCGGCCTCACAGTGCCCGACAAGGCTAGCATGGCCGCGGGCCGCGGGTCCAGCGTATCTCTCGCTTTGCCCAACGTCCAACGCGCTCAACGTTCTTCGCCGCTGCAGGATTTGAATCGCACGAAGTTAGCGCTCTCTGTGGCAAGAGCAATAACGGGTGCGGTTTGAAATTTTGGAAGGAATGTAATTCTGCCTCGTCCTTTTAATGCGGGGCGCGATTCTTGAAGCATCGTTTGTGGTGCCTCAGACAGAACCACTCTCCTCATCAAGAAGATCTCACAGCCGAAAGCGGGAATCGCTTTCGAGAATCAATTGTGAAGGAATGTTGCTGCTCTGGATTTGACACCACCTTTACTCGGGTAAGAGTTGAATCATTAGAATCATCTCCCATGCTTGTGGCTGTATTGCCACGGCTCCCGGACCTTACACGCAATGCAAACGCGCTCAGGGATAGCTTTAGTGATGCTGTCTTTGTAGACTGGGGCTCGTTCTTGGTCGGTGGTATCCAATCCGATTCTTACTTCGAGTTTGTAAAGGCAAAACATCTCTGCAAAGTCATTTGTTATCTTGTTCGGTGCTGATTTATGGAACTACACACTTTTTTTGTTTTCTTCGTGTGTATGGGATTTACTTTCTGCTTATCGAGGAACTCGGAGCCTCTGTCTGTGAAATGTGTCGGCAGAAATGGATTTTGGTTTTGAGCTGATGTAGGAATTCTGCATGCCTTTAAGAACTTATTGTGACAGAGTTTCGAAGGTCCAAGACATTACCATTATCTGCTGTCACAGCACGCACTCTAAACAGCGATTTTTAAATCCTGGACAGGTCCGACTATTCCGCTGCAGTCGCAAATGACGTAATACCATTTGATAATTATTTTGCATAGGGAAACTTAGAGTTGTGTCTCATGTTTCTTGTCTTCCGAAAGCATGGTTTGTGCTAAGAGAGTCGCGAGAGACGTGGGTACTACTTTGTGTCGAGTATAGACTGGCATACAAAGCTTAGAACTCGAAACGAGAGGGGATCGGGTTGTCAGGACTTGAGCTGATAAGCAGCCGAGAGCAGTGGTGGACACGTCGCCTGATTAAAAGCCATGATACAATCGTTAGAGGAAACGAAGAAAGTGAAGTAAATACTGAACGGATGTGCTAATATCACAACTGAGTATTAAACCAGTGGTACACTCTTATGTTCCAATCATGCTAAACACACCATGCATTTTCGAATGAAGTGACGAGGCTGAAAATCACCTGTCTAATATACATCGTCGTCTCTAGTAAGCAATAGAGCGATATTATAACTCTGGACTTACTAATCACAGAAGACGTAGCTCTTGGAATGACAAGCTTAAATACAGATCATATCAAATTTCTATTCGAATTTGCTACAGTGACCTGATTTGCTATATCGTCTCTGTTGCCAATCTTGGTCTCCAACAATGTTTTAAGCAAAATAACTCTCTGCTTTTTCCGCTACTTGACAGTTGTCCTATCGCACAGTGGACGCCTCGTCGACGGCGGATACCGGGGTACAAAAAACATGCACAGTGGATGCCTCGTCGACGGCGGTTCGGTTAGAGCCTGAAAGGCTGTGGCTTGGCTCCAGCTGACTTCTCAGTCTCGTCTCAACTCCACCTTCTGAAAGAATCAAGTGAAGTCAATATACAATGAGCCGTTATTTTGAACTTGAACTGCGCTAGTGCGAGGATCAAGTTCCATACTACTCGTCAAATTATGTCTGGATGCTTTGGTTTCCTGGAACGCTTGAGACTTCTATTCTAAATGACGTACGCGGGAATCTTACGCTTGGTGTTTTTCGCCCTATGAGCTACATTTCAGCAAGTCATTTAGTCACCGCTTAGGTCCTTGCATCTTGTAACGGTAAATCCCATTTTGCAAGGGCTCGATTGATTGTGGAGACCAATCGGAAAGTCAGCGGAGTGAGGTTTCGGTGACTTAACCCTCAGATCGATAGAAAGACCCTTTATGTATGTCTTCAGTTGTTGGTGATCATTTGAGAAAAATCTGCCTCAAGAACACAGCCGAAGAGTTTATGAGTAATTCTTTAAGTCCTTTTTATGTTCTCTCCTACAATCTCCATCCTAGGTTTTAGTCGTGTGTAGCGCAAAAGACATGTCGGGAACTGTTGTCTCAATGGTTTGCAACCGTATTTCGTCCGATGTGTGTTTTCGTCTGGAGCTCAGTGCATTTTCCTTGAAGATTATCCTACCTCGTTCGGATCCTCACACTCTCCACAATCTCGTATTTTGCACTCCGATTGCGCAGTTGTCGAGTTTGAAGCTTAATGATTTTCTGATCGATTCAGCCTCATGTTCTAGTAGTGAAGTGTTAAATCTTCTAATATTTAAAATTGTATAAGAGTAGTAAAACATAAACTGAGCACAGAAGTTTTATGTTTTTTCTGCTGGATCATCCGTCACTGTTGTGTTGGCGACGCTATCATATACCAGAAGAGGTTGTTTATACATCCACTGCCTGAGGACGGTACGAATATCTCCTTAAAACATCATAATCAGGAACCTTGAGAGAACACACTGGATGGTGATTGACATGTCGAATCAGCTTGGATAATACAGGTTCTCCACATAAGAATCTTCCACTGACGTCAAACAAGATATTGATCAACATACATGTGGTATTGAATGATCGATGATCGATGTACAAAGCCCAGTGAAAGCAAACTTCGAGAGGAAATCTCAAGTACGGAACAGGACTGATTACTGCAAAAGTAGACTTGAATCTTCAAGGCGCTTGGATTTTCCAAAACGCGTGCCAAGCAATTTCTATAAGGGCCTGTGTGTAGCCGAAAAATAGGAAACAAGGACGTCTTACAACGTCTCATGTACTGTGTTGTGTACACCTAAGTCATAAGCATGGTGAAACTTACAGTTTGAACAAGCTAATCATCTAGATCCAAATCCAGTTTTTAGCAGGTTCGGGACCAGACTGTTAGCCTCAACCGTGATCGCAATACTGCTAATGGTATATGAAAGACAATGTACTTTGCGTATATTTGTCAAGACACTAAGGTATGATAAACACATAAAGGCTTCTCTTGGAGAACTTACACCAGAAGTCGGAGTAGGGAATGCAGTAACTCACAGGACGCAACAGAGAGGAGGTCAGACAGATTCTCCTGACCATCCTAAAGAGTTCATCTTCTTTATCATAGTTTCTCTTGTTTCTTGAACTTAAGTTCTATTTGGTCTCTTCGACTTTAACGGCTGCTATTTCGCTCCCTCTTCCTGTTGTAAAGCAATGCAGAAAGAGGAATTTCATTATGAAATTCCATACAGTTTCTTTACAGTTTTCTTCTTGGATTTGTTTCGTTTGTACTGAAAGCTTGAGCATGTAGACAAGATATACATAACAGATCAAAGCATAAAAGGTAGGCTCCATGATGTAGCTGACGTTGAATTTGAGTGTGTTCCAAGTACGTGTGGATTTTAAGCGAGGAGAATGAAACATAATTGAAGGAATGTCTCTAACTAGAACTTCGTTAAAAGTTTTATCCTGGGCCACGCCCATGATAATATCAAGGGTTCAGCAGAATGATCCTTATAGACTAGCCAATACAGTTGTTTCTGATTTGAAGCATCCTTCTCATACAAGATCAACTCTTGAGACTGTACAATCTGCTGATTGATCATTAGAGGTAGGTAACGCTTACCGTATTGGAGAAATGGATTTCGAGCTTAAGACGGTTAATTGCCCAGGATGAGTACCCTACATTTGACCTTTTTGGGGCTGTTGCTCAAGCCGAAGTTTGTATCAATGCCTGAATTAATAATTTGTTTTTATGCGACTGATATATGGAAAGTTACCTCGATGAGTGCTCTTATGTAGTGCATCTTGTGCATTGAGTGCAGGCTTTCAAGATTTTCATCGTCAACCTTAAAACTACGGGTTTGATAAGTGCTTCTTGTTGAAGGGGACGATACTGAAGGCAGAGAGGCATTGTACAGAGAGGCATTGTACATTGAACCTCATCCGCTCTTGCTCGTAAGGTCCTTGAGTTTATTTCTTCTTTTCAGAGTGGTGTTTGAGGTAATTTCATGATGTCGGCTTTAAAATTTTACTTCAACCAGGACGAAATTGATGTACTTTGATAACTGAGATATCTACCCTTCATTGCATAACAGCGGGTTTCTCCTGAAGGATGGATACACATGTTCTGGACTCAGTCAGTGAGTTTAGCCTCGTCCAGTCTAGTCGAGGTGATAGTCATCATGAGTTCGCCTGCAAAGCTAGCAATTTAAGGCAGAAAGGACTCTTACTTTGAGGAAGATGGTCGTCACAGATATTGCAGCAACATGAGACGTGGGGTGCTGCTCGACGGTGGATCTATTTCTGCAGGTTGTGGCATTCTCAAAGATGAATGTGGTTTCCTGCAACTTTCTATACACAGGTAGAGGTTTCCCCATCCCAACACACCACTCCAGTATTTTTCAAATCAGTCAGGTCATAAATGTTCGAATGTGTTTTCCAAGGTCCTTTGTACAGAAGGGCAAATAATAGTGATGCACTTGGGTGATCTCCTCAGGTTTTTAACACCCGTCTGCTCCCATCTGCTCTGCGGCCTTCACTGGTACAGTCGGTGATGAAGGAAGCGGCTGAAGGCAGAAGGTAAAAGTTGGTACTTTATATTTAGGACGAGGTGAAGATATATCTGAAAGCTCAGAAGATCTGTTTTAGTCATTCTTGCATGATTCTTCTCCACCAGCTTTCCTTACCTCGGGAACGACGGCCTCGTGAAACCAATGAGTGCTGTACAAGCAGACAGGAATCTCGTTCCATTACATAATGACATCACCGCCGCAGTTGTCAACTTGGGTTCTGGACCAGTACTACCGTGGGGTGATGGGACACCAAAGGAGATGAAAATAGAAAGTGCTTCTCTGATGATCACGAGGGTCGGAAGGTACCCTATACTCAAGGAAGCGAAAAAACTTTCAGACTCAGGATTAAGTACTCATGACTAAAGGCTAAGACTCTGATTGATTACCGCTTCTTCCATGGCAGGCGTTGGCCACTGATTCGCTCTCAGACCAGAGAGGCTTCATCATCACAGGAACAAAAGCTTTAATTGACACAACGCCTGGGCATTTAACCTAATGGACATCGTAGAATTGAGTCTTCCTTTAGCGATTGAAGGATAGAGGTCATCTGACAGCCTTACAAGTTCCAGGACAATACTTCTCCTCCTTCCAGACTCCTCAGTGCTCAGATCCATGGGTAAAACTTGGGATCCATCATGTTGTTCAATTGCATCTACGAGTAGCACCGGGAGAGCATCGCCCGGTGCACGCTTTAAATGATTTGGTGCTTTTATTGTATGCACTGTGTCTCGTTCTAGAGGCCCATGCATGTGATACATACAGTAGTGGTTGCAGTAGATCTAGCATTGACTTATTTCCTCCTCCTTCCTGCCAGTTTCCTTTCCCCGCCATTGGCTACTCTTCCTAGCAATCCACAACAAAGAGGAGGACGCCTAGAAGCCCACTGCTTGCCTTTCAACTTAGCGAGACATGGAACTCGCTGTAATAGACTCGCTTGTGCAGTTGATCTGAGAACCCTGAGATCGCAGATTAGTCAAAGTCAGGAGGTTCTTCATCATTGCTTTGTACCAAACCAAGACATCATTTGAGTTCAGATGGCTGGCTGATGCTCCTACTATAGGACAGACTAGAGTAGCTAGACCTGCTGCTGGTTCTGCTCGAGCATATCTTACCACAAAAAGCTTGATTAGATTCAGTTCTGGATAGTCGCCAATCTACGTTCGCAGTGTGTACAATTTCTTACTCGGAGATCGCATACACTAGATGATGGACATTCTTTTCGGTCTGAACTGTCAATGGTGGTACATATTTATCTCTGAGAATCACATAATTACAGATTACGCATCATTCTGTCTTACCACGGACGGACAACCCAAATCATTCGTTCTTCTTCCAACTTTCTCCAATATGACTGTTGGCAGGAGAGATGCTCTTTCCCCAAGTCCACAGAGAGATTACCACCTTCAACCCTACAACTCTCTTCCTACTTTGTAAAGGTTATTAGTACTCCCTCATTTTGAAAGCCCGATATGTAACAGTCAATCACTTACTGGACGGACGGAGGTTACTGCCTACGAACCAGAAGTCCTAGACAGAAGTGAGGCCCGTACGTCATAATGATTAATGTCAAAGCTAAGTAGTTTGGTTGGTGCTTCAAGAATTGATACGCAAAAGTGTGGAGAAATCGCTGTGATATGGAATCTTCTAAGACTTGTTGCCGTTGTAGCTATTTTGAATGTCTATACCCTCTGGCAGGAAAAATCAAACCAGGCCCTGATATCTTTGGACTGACTTAGTATCTTAACAAAGTTTCCGAGACCCCTTTCGGTGAGCAGATGTGGGTTCTTTTCACTGTAAGAACCCATATCTGCTATACTCCTCTGATTCTCGATAGCTAGTCATTTACTTAAGTTTCACGTTGGCAATCAATTGGTGGGACAATTTACCCTTGCGGATTTAATTCTACGCGAATGAATGCAGGGAAGCTGGGAGAAATTGCGACAACTGGATTTTCCGGACGAAAAGAGCAAGTACGAGGGCGACGTGGGACCAAAGCCCACTAGCAAATCCGTTATGAGCGGGTGGTGGGAGTGCGAATATCCAGGTGTTACTCATCTTTGACCTTACAAAGTATCCGTCACATGTTACTCACAAATCAATGATATCGAAGAGTGAACCTCCTATTTCCTCCATATAACTATTCAAATTTACCACACTTTCAGAAAACTTTTGGGGAATGGGGCTGGGATTTAAGAAAATTTCTCAACACCCGAAAAATATCTTACTGCTCTATCTTGAAACCGCGCAATGGCAGATATTTTTTAAAATTTACTCCCTTGACCTAAGAGTACGATCCACACTGATGATATTCAATTTTTTTTGATTTCAAATCAATCAATTTCTCAATTCTGAACTTGCATCTTTTGTTTAAAATTTTAGGGGATTGGCATGGAATTTTTTTTTCATTCCCAATTTTCTGAATTCTAAGCAACAATTGACGAATGAAAGGGCATTAGGCCGACGCACTTGCAGTTCATTATGTGATAGTATACTGTAAATCATCTGTAGAATCAAACGAAGACAAGGACGACTTTAAATAAGTCACTCGCACATCCGGGCAAGGGGTTTGAACTGAGAATTTGCAATCTCATATCTTATTTTTGGGGAAAAGGCGAAATTCTTAGTCACGAGGAAAGAGAACTGAAGATCTAACTGGACATGACACTCAAAGCCTAACAGATCACGTTTCTCCTACTCCAGATGCAAGAGTTGTGATAAACTTACTGAAACATTCCAAAACATCCACACCCGTGTCTACAAGAAATGACACTGGACTTCTAAAAATGGTCCAAGCTCAAGTTTTGTGTACTAGAATCCAAATAGCCTTCGGGGATAGACTCCAATGAAGCCGCGACTAAATAATAACTACTTGTAGTTGTCCCCTGCAAGTCCAAGCAGGCACGTGGTTCTTATTGATTGGTGTACTTCAAATAACGTAGAGAATCGAGAGCCGACATTTCAACTACAGGTACAGAGGTACTTTGTGGTTATAGTTTTAGAGTGTTTACGTAGGTACCGTATGATGAGAATCAATGAACGTTCGGTTCAAGTCATGATAGATATCGAATTGAGACGGGAAGAGAGAGAAAACTTGAAGGCCTAAACAGTTTGTACTTTTGTAGGCTAATTCTATATATATATTTTAAATTTATGCCCTCGTACTTCAGGTAAGTGGATCATAAATCTCATGATGATCTAAATATTCCATTTTAGCATCCACATTAAACCCCGCCTTGAGAATTTCTGTTGGAAGCTAGACCGTTTGCATCATATCATGGATGGATGATAGGGCGATGTACAAAAACGAATATTATACACCAACTCTCACTCACACATGCGGCTGAGCAAAGTTGTGTATGTGATGAGACATTCAAATTTCAAATTAGGCCTCATCTTATCTCTTCTAGATATCGATACAGAAGTACATCAGATTCTATGAGGTACTCTGAAGCTGTAAATTTGGTATGAAGACTAATCTTCTGGAAAGTACAGTTGTATCAGATTCTTACGGTACTATGAGAAATTTAACTTGGAATTTAGCTTCATTTGATCAGTGTTGAGATAAAGGAGGTACAATTGCTGGCACTGCAGCATCAGATTCTATAAGGTACTGAATAGTTTAGAGAGAGAGAGATATGCCGAGAAAGTTCAACGAGTGGGGCTGGAATCGAGCTGCTGTTGAAATAACAGTTGAGGATGACATAGTTTTGCTCAAGGTGTGGTTGAAGGTGACACAACTATGTCGTCGGTTCCCAATTTCTAGGCCACCGGTAGAGTCCTAAGCCCCAATCTTCTTTGTGAGAATCTTTCGGTCTGATGCGCAGATTTCAATCATATATGGACTCAGTGTTGGTACCTTTTGTTGATTGTAGAAGGAGGAGAGAAAGTAGTAGTCTACAATTAAGAGAGACAAAGAAAGAGGGGAAGCGTCTACCCAACTAAACTACAGAAATTTGATTGTGGTGGAAAACATCTGATCCTTGACTTTCACATATGAGACTATATAACTCTAGCTGCATGTGCTCCATATTGGTACATGTAGATGATGATCTCCTTTTTTGCTCCCGTGTCTAGGTTTCTAACCACATCTACATGATGATCTATAACTGAACAAAGAAGTTATCGCTAAAAGAAAAAATCGACTTTAATAAATCCAGAGAAAATCCAAAAGCAATATGGGTCTTCGCTCAATTCTTTCGTTGTACGCGGAGATAACCATGCAGAGACATCATCATCGATCGCTTTTCTCCACTCTCTGCCTTTCTCTCTCTTGCTTTGCATGCAAAATCACCATGGGACGGGATCCTTCTTTAAAAAATTTGAATCGGGAGTTTGTGGGACTGCGTTGCTTGTCGAAGAAGGCTCTGGTCTCCTCTCCTCCTCGGTAGGGGGTTACGAGAGGAGTAGGGGTACGGTTGTAGTACTGACTGATTGGGCCGTAGGTGGTGGAAGTAATGTGGTGTAAAAAGGCTGACTTGCAGCCCTTAATCACGTGGTTTGCATGTGCTCATGGCAAGATCGATATGTATATTTAAGACTACTCCAGTAGATTACAAACGTGCATCCCAATGCAAAACTCAATGCAAGGAAGATGAGCGAGCGGGGGAGTATGTGTGTCTGTCGTCGTCTTGACCGGTCAAAATTTGCATGATTATAATGAATAAGACGGACAGACCCTCGAAGTGAGCAGCTGAGCGATGCAAGGCTAGGATTGAAGTGGAAGGAAGAGGAGAGAGAGTGTGAGGGAGGAAAGGAATAGTATTGTCTCTGGAAGCAGAGAAGATGCCTATTGCCCAGTCCACCTCAACCTCGGCCTCCACCTTTGTCCCAACAAAAAATGTAAAACACAGTTCGATACCACACCATATTCTCCACGCCCTACTGTTTATAAGGAGCACTGACTGCACTAGATTTGCAGCAAAAAGCCTGTATCCCGCCTGCACTTCGGTACCAATATATGTTGACCGTCCCCGCCTGCCATGTGGTTTGACCTCTCTCTTTCTCTCTCTGTAGAACACTCGAAATACAATAGAATTCAATACAATAATCTGGTAAGTGGCAGTGTTATGGCCAGAGCAAGAACACTTTGCACAAGCAATCGTCACAAAGACGGGTGTCAAACTCAAACCCCATAGAATGATCTCGGTGAACCTCTCCTATCGTCCCTTCCTCGCTCTCTCGCTCAGCTCAGCACGACGCCGGTAAGAGACGGGGCTGGCTGTGTCATGGATCTGCTCATCTCGCAGATTAATGACTGCAGGCATAAAGTGCTCAAATGATATGTTTGTGGGCATGTGCTGTGCCTGCAGAGAGCTGTAGCCGATTGGAGAGGGCTAAATTTTTAATCCCCGTTCAATGCTTCATGTACATGTGTTTGTACGTACCGTAGACCTTCCCTTGGCTACTTTGTAGAGCTGCTGTTTCTGCTCATTAAAAACCTAATATAGAGGAGCCTGGGAAGACTATGAAGTAGTTTTCCCTCTTAAACTGTCTTTACGCCTATAATAGCTGGGTCACATTGCCCAGTGATTGACGTAGTAGGTTGGGTCAAACTCTTCGTATAGCTTTTGTATTCTCCATGCATCTTTTATAACGAGAGAACTTGTCTTGTTTGGGAGAAAAAGGACGGATATGGTTAATAACTAACTCTTGGACTGACCTGCCCAGTGCAGCTACTTTAGCTTGTGTCTCTTTATCTGTCTGTCCAATCTGTGCATCGGATGGATAGTGAAGGCAGTAGGCAGTCGCACATACACCCAGAAATGTGTAGTGCAGACTAACAGAGGCGGTAGAATATGTAATCTTCTTCCTTCTGACTTGACAGGAAGGTGGAAGGAAGACTTCCTTCTTTCGTAGAAGTAGGACTTGACTTGTTGGGTAACTACAGCAAGCACGTACTGTGCAGAGCAGAGCAGCTGAGCAGCTTGTTCGTATGATCCGCATGACATCAGAAGCGGAGCAGTTTACGGTGCACGGGCCACGCCTCTGCTCTGGCGAGGCACCTTTGGTGTGGTGGAGATGGCTATGGATGGCTGCTCACCGATTCTGACCGACTTCGTAAACTTCGCACCGCTCCATGCTTCGAACGAATATCTAGATGAACCAGGCTTTGGTTAGTTGGTACTGTAGCTGTGAATTCGTCTCGTGCAGAGAGAGGCTCACTGTCAACTAGCTGATGGCAACTCCATGTTGGCATTGCAGAGCTCGAGCAGGCCCTTCCATGCTGCCACCGCTAGCTAGCTGCTCACCGGTGCGTCTCCATTGTCGCTAAGCCCATCCCATCGAAAGCACTTTCTTCTCTCTAAAGTGCGGTCAAAGCTGCGCTTTACACAAATTGCAAATCTCGTTGGTTTTAAGTGGCAGGCTGGCCAGCAGGGCCCTGGGCTATAGTAGCTCCCACTTTCCCCACTAATGTACTGGCTGCTGCATTTCTTCTCCCTCTTATGTACTGCCTTGTACACTAAACTGTTTGAAAGGACGGTTCTAGAAGTTCAGAGTCTGCAATTCCTTATGCTTGCCCATGTTTGCTTACTTAGAAATGCACAACCCAATGAGATATTTACATAAGAAATTTCAATTTCAACTCAAGTTCCGACCAGGCTCAGCTAGCGGTTGGAAACGATAGAATGATTTGCACTTGTCCTGCTTGCTGCCTAACTCTCTTCATGATCCTATCTGCAAGGTAAGGGATTCCTTGCAGACCATATAATCAGCCTGATTGAATCATGGGCTGGGTATTCGATTCATGAACATATACAAAATCAAGCAGTATAGAGTCTTGGACTGCGGCCTTGAGCCTCTTTTGCTGTTCTTTCCAATATTAGTACTGGAGTTCCTATCATGCTACATAGACGACTAGCCAAGTGTAACTACCTTTGACACCTTCGTACCTGCTCATCCTGGCATACCAGTACAATATCGGTTCCGTTACTGGTCCAAGTTGTCCTGAACTTTCAAACTGCATTAGCTTCTCCAGATCCATCCAATCAATGTACCAAGCTGATTCTGCACACCCTTCACCTTCCTGTCTTGTCTACGGAGATAAACATAGATAGCTGGGGTGTGGCCTTGGAGGCATAGCGTAGCTTGGCTGGTGGAGGGTGATGGGACGCGGTCGGGGTAAGAATCAAGTACTCATGTGTGTAACACTTACACTAGCAGTTGGAGGGAGAGAGGGAAAGAACCACAACCACAACTACTAGCGTAGCCTTGAGCGGAAGCAGCAGTAGCGAGTATGACACCGATCAAGATCCCGAGGCATCGGACCATGCTATTGATGAGAGAAGTATTGGGACCACCGGGACAAGAGAGTGGCCGGCCAGCCAGCCACTGGCGAGATGGGACGGAAGGGACGGGGCGGGGCGGAGAGGGGAGGATTAAGAGCATAGAGAGAAGATAGAGAGAGCGATGAAAGCTGAGAGCTCATTCGCGATGACCTCGTTTCTGACTGAGGGGTGGTCCCCAATAGCTCGACTGCCTTTAAGACAAAGTAGTCACAGGCAGAGGGTTGGGTTCTGCTGTGCAACTTGCAACTTGAGCTCTACCTGGTTCCTAGAGTTGATATCTACGTAGCACCAACAGGTGAACTCACGATTCTCCTCTCCAGATCCTAGCCTAGAGTCTTCATGGCTCATGGCGCGATCACCAGTCCACGTGACTTATATTCGTACGCCCTTTGTCTCTCTTCTCCCTCCTCTCCGAGCATGCCGTCTCTCCCTCGTCAGTCTGTCTCGTGAAAGTCATAAGCTCTTCCTGAGTCCTGACCCGAATGGATTCTCTCCTACGATGTGTAGTTAGATGGCAATCGAACTTTGAATCAATTAATATCCGAAACTCGTCGAGAAAGCACGGAGCAGCTCAACTATAGCTTACTGACATACATATGTAGAGGTCGCCATAGCCTCTCTACATTTCCCTGCATGTCCCCGGTGAAAGCTTTTGAAATCGCAACGAGTTTACCTGTCTATCTCAAGTGCGCACTCTACTGGAGCCGTCGAGGCCGTCCTGCTACAGCCCAGTGCTAGTGCTGCTTCTCTGCTGAGGCCTCCATGCTCTTTATTCTCGGCAACGTGCATGTACTACAGCGTAGAATCTTAAGCTGGGCTGAGCCGATGTAAAAGCCGGAGCCTAAAGATTCGCCTACAAGCGAATGGATGCGATCCGCAATCCGGGCTGCTAAACTTGCCGAGCTCTCAGTTCTCTACAGTCATGTGTAACGTGCAGCCACTCATTGCTGCATTGAGTGCAGATGATGCTAATAAAAGCTTAGTCACTGATCGGTTTAGTTCGTTAGTTACCTCTCCTCCTCGAGTACTGTATCATCCCTTCTGCATGGTCAAGCGATCTACAGTGATATGTTCAGTCTTGACTAATCAAATTAATCGAACTCTTTACCTTTATGAAAATTGGGCCTCGTGTTCATGAACCTGTATGACCACTACCGAGGTCCCAAGCAAATGCATGCACTTCATAACTCTCATTTACCGATGATGATTTCATTGGAAAGAGTTCTTTACTCGTTCTTTACTCTCTGCAGGAACATGCAACTCTGGATGTGAAGTGTCTATTCGAAAATTAACCACAAATCTAAGTTTGGCTCAACGTTCTAAGCTTGTGAGATCTCAGCTCAAGCTCTCGGATCGAAACAACGAAGAAACAAACTTGCTAGGTTTTGTAATAAAGTCGTGCTCTCTCCGATCGAAGAGATCAATCGACTCAGAATTCTTATGCATCCAGATCCGTCACCTCATCTGTGTCTGTGTCTAGTGGCACGCGAAGCCATGCCATGCCATGCAGACCACTTAGAACGAGGACCTTGGACGCAAGCGGACATTTTGGAAAAAATATGGTAAACTTTAGTTTGTTCTGAGTGAATCGCACGACTGTCACTGATATTCACGCAGTACAGGCTTGAAAGGAATTGGGTTGAGGAGAATCACCCCGATAACAGTGTCATGCACCAGCGCTAGCGGTAGCCCTTATGGTAGAAGTGAGTCGTTAAGCACTGTAGCTACAGGCCCACGGCGTGTGCACACTTTTAAGTCGTTCTATCTTCTGCCATAGAGCTCTTGACATCGCTCGATGCTCGATGCATATTCTTCCTTCTGTAGCGCTTTTGGCGTCCAATATTGGCATGGCCTGACCATTAACTCAGACATGAACAGAAAGCCAGGTCCAGCGGGCGCATATTTTCTTTTGTTTTTTTATCTACTGGGCTGAAGGTAGAGAAACATGTGAAGTTATCATGCATGGAGAAGGGTTTGCGATCATGATGATGGCTTACGATGCTCACCATCATAATTGTTCATACGTTCTTCTCAGAGCCCCAGTAGTGCATGACCTTTCTCCTGCCATTGTTCTCGTAGTCATCATATCAGGCCATGCCCATTCGGTGTGCCTCGCTATATCCTTGCATCATCCGTCCGTGCCAAGGGCTGAGCTCATGTGTGTGTAGCCATTTGCAAGTAGCACGACTACTGTAGTCATGCAGCCATTTCCAACCTCGTATCCGGAAAATGGAACCCACCCCTCTGAGAATTCTCTCGGGAATCTGGCCGACACTCTCATCGACTATTATCACCGAAAGACTGGATAATTCCTGATTGACTGAGGTTCGTTAGCGTCGTACAATCCTACCCGAATGCTTTCACTGTAGCATACACCTACACAACTATTCTCAGATTGTGCTCTCGGTCGGAATCGGTCCGCTTCGGCATGCGAACCCAGCTCAAACAACTTCTTAGCAAATTTCACTAGCTTTTACAGACTGAAATGTCGGCAGTTGGATTGATTTGCCGACTTGCTCGGCACTCATAGTTCGACGAAATATATTTTTGTACTTACGATTGCGATTGTCGCAATGCTGGATGACTAACTGAATGGTCTTGACAGAGAGCTATACTGCCGCAGTAGCCGTATGTCGATTTAGATTTGACTACTGCCGAAGAAGCCACTTCAATTTTCGAAACCTTGGATCGTGCTTTCTCAAGGTCGTAAGCTCGACGTTTAATTCCCAGGCGTCAAATCTGAATTATACAACATCATCCCAGGCGTTTTGTAACATCAGCTCCCGAGGTATTCAGTCTTTGAAGAGTTTAATGTACGATCCAGCGGCTTCTTCTAGTTCGCACATCCAGAAACTCAAGTGCGGAAAATTTTCCAGTTGGTTGCCTCACAAGAAATTGATTGTCAAGATCGCAAGTTCAAACGTGCCTAAGAGCCGTTAGGACGATCAGCTTTAATTTCCCGAGGTGACGCGGAGACATTGTAACCAAAGACATCGTAATCGAAGGCATCATGAATATAGACCATCCAACCTTCCTACTCACGGTCACAATGTTCCCGGGCGACATTGACAATTCTAGAGGACAATTTCCTCGGCTGTTTCGCCGTACATAATAGTGAGATACAGATTGTGTTGAAGATGCTTGTATTCCCGAATGTCTTCATGACATTCGGAAATACAAAGTGTCCAATTGAGCCCCGATGCATATACGACCGTAGCAACTGCATTTGCTAAAAGAAACCAACGTCGAGAGAGAACAAAGAATAGGAAGAAAGAGAGTTTACAAAGAAGCGCTGTTTACTCCGCCGCAATTACATACAGTGTAACAATGAGCTGAGGAGGTGCTTTCTATCTGATAACTAAAGCTATTATGCTAGGCTAGTAATCCAAGGAAGAAAGTTGAACTCTCGCCCATATGAAGCTTTTCATATGAGAGCAAAAATAGTGTGAACTGTAGAGACGAGAGAACTTACAGCCCGAGCCCCTTGGATTTATCTACCTATCTGTACTAAACGCAGCAAGATCTTCATCTTTGCCGCTACCCTTGACAAAACAGTATAGTTTCTACTTCCTAAGTATGACTAATGGGCCCGCACCAGCTGATTGGACTGTTTGGTCAGCATTTTCTCTGGACCTCAAGGTTCTACTTCTCCCCGCGCTGAGGGAAATGTGGTGTACATGTCTTATAGATGCATTCAATTCGAACGGTCAGAGGTTTCAACTCCCACATCTAGCTGACAGTCAGCTCTCGGCTGATTGTTCGTCATCGTCGTAGTAGGATTTCGTCTCATCTGATTCATCAGACATCGGTTGATCGACTTCGTCCGACATTTCGCCCCACTGACCGAAGAGCTCCAGGCCCATAAACTCTCGAGCTCGTGGCCGTAAATAGTTCCAACGCGTTCGACAGCTTTTACCACTTCTTAAGAGTCCTGCGCATTCAACAAATAAGCTCCCCGTCAAGATACGTATCAAGAATGCGAATTTGTGCTGTATCAGATACAATTTCAGATTCGAACATGATTCGAATTTGTCAGTCATTGCGAAGCAGTCAGTGCTCTACTGCTGAAGGAAGCAACTGCCAAGACTAAGATCCAAGCTACAGGTACAAGCTCTAGGCATCTACATGCCTTTCATGACCCTCGACGGATGCGAGCAATATTCTCCTGAATCGGGCCGTGAGGCAGCGTTAGTTAGAATTGTGAACAATCGAGATGGAGAAAGCGGAAGGATGTCTTTCCAGTGCATATTTCAGTCTCCACCTGTGGAGGGAAGCTATTCGACACATATGAAACCAAGGGACCTTTCGAAGAGATAAGGACAATAACACTCCTGAGAGCGCATTCCCCACTTAGAGCGAAAAAAATTGTGAGATGTCGATGTCGCACGTGCGACTTCACGACGGGGAAACTAATTGTTGCACGATTTTCTGTGCAGCCGGCACGCCAATTTCAGCATGTAAAATTTATGCGTTGAAAACTGCCCGTCATAACCTGTGACAATTCCCAAGAGAGTTGACGAGGTAGCTGAATTGCAACTCGCTACCGTTGGTGCAGAGGCTAATTACTTTAGATATAGCGTACACATGTGATAGCATGCAAAGGCAACGGGAGCGGTACACATCACCAACTAGAGTCCAGCACCGTGTTAGAAATGTGGCTCTTCTGACCCGAGTCAGAACAAAAAATAGCACCCCCGTGTGAGTGTACCTACGCACTGTCTTTTTTGTCACAGCAGCTCTCTGAGCGATAACTGACGACTCCCCATCTACAGTGCCAGGCCAACCTCGCGGAAGCATTCCATTCAATGATAGCTCAATCTTTAATTAATCTGCTGTAGTGCGGCTAAAATCCTGCACATCCCGGAATTTCACTGGATTTCTCGTCCGTTGCAACCCAAGCAAGAGAGCTTTAACACCTCGGGATGGAAGCCGCAGCGCAGAGCTCAATAATGGAACAAGCAGGCTCCAATGGAGATCTACGGGACATGTTCACCCTCTAAATAGAACACATTATATCCCTAAAAGTACAAGTCAGAGTTCTGAGCTAGTCTTGAACTGGGTAGCATATGTTCAGTTTACTAAGGGAAAGGGACACATCGTATCTGCAGCATTCTATGCTCACAAAAAAATCTGGGCGAAAGCTTGTTCAATCCAGGCTGCCTCTCGATGCCCTCTAATTCATCTGGCAGGCCGGTCAGGAACGGACGGTAAAACTGCTGGAGCTGGCAAGAGAATTTCAGCAGAAAGACTTGGGAGCGATTCACACTAAGCACGAGGGTAAATCGCATGGGTAACATGATCGGGAGAACATGTTCGTTTCGGGGGATCCAGACAGTAACAGAAACGTCGTAACGCCTGTTGCAAGGCCGGTAAATTGCGCTGCAAGGACCGTGCAGCGATTGATATCGTGAAGCGACGGTCATCATGGAGCACGGTAGACCATCTGTACGAGCCCTTGCGTGCCGTCGGCAGAGGGCTCGCTCGCCGAAAAAAAACCAATTCAACCGTCGCAGAGAAGGAGACAAGTACAGAGTGGGCCTTGATTGTACGAAGGAAAAATTCAGGCGACCTAGGATCGACATGACATAGATGAGAAAAACAAACCTGCAAGCTTGGGAACTTCCTCCCAGCAGAGCGCCTGATCGTTGTTGGTCATAAATCTGCAAAGTTGTTCATCTTCGTCCTGGGTCCATGGTCTTTTCTTCTTCTTCATGTGGCCCGTGCTTCCCATCTCTGTGATTGTGCGTGGGCAAAGAAAAAATCTATGCCACTCAGCAGAGGATCCCGAAGGTCAAACTGTCCACGACCGGTAAGTCGAGATTTCTGTGTCGCTCTGGAGTACTTGCTGTGATGTTTGCTTGTATGTGTCTGCTTCTGAAGGCCCTCAGCTCCCTCTCTTATAATCGAGTAGGTATGTTGTGAGGTACTTCAGACGATTGTGTGCTCTCTTAAAGGGCCAAGTGAAGCTCCGACTGCACTGGATGGATTGCGTGAATCGGCAGGTTTCGCCCGACACACACGCGCAGGTTGGCTGGCGGGCTGGTTAGCGGAAGGAGGGAGGATGAGGGGTGGTGGGCGGGAGGGAGGGAGTGATAGAAGAACAACTTTCAACAACTGGTTGGTCCGGATGGTAAATGAGATGGAAACGTGAAAAGATAAGAAGAAGAACTAGGAAGATGCAGACGAGGAGATTAAGCAGACGAGGCGACGAGCCTGGTCTCACGAGGAGGAGAAACGAGTAGAGGCAAGAGAAAAGGTTGAAGGCCAGCCAGCCAGCAATTCAGGTCCTTGCTCGCTCCACTCTGTACATCTAACAGACTGCTGTCACGAGTTTAACAGGGAAAGATGGGAAAAGACTGGGGATAAGAGCCTTTCCTGCCTGCAGACACTTAAGCAATAGAAAAAGTGGCTCAAGTATCCAGGCCCTCCTCCTCTTGCCTTTTTTCTTCACCCGTTGGGAAGGGGGCACGGCTCACACAGCAGCGGCAGCAACAGCAAGCACTTGAGTAAACCCTCAAGGAAAGAGGAAGGAGAAAACCTAGGGATTTCAAATAAAGCGAAAGAAAGAAAAGCTGGAGGATGAGCAGCAGCGGCGCCCGAGTTTTTTCTCTCTCAACCCGTGTGCCCAATCATTAGCACTAGCACTTCTATCTTTCTATCCCTGGCGCTAGATTTATTTATTGATATTCAAGTATATAAGCGCGCTTGGACCAGAAGACAGCGAGACTAAGCGGTAAGGATGACACTAGTTGAATAATATTGCGGATCGGAGTTGAGGCCGAGGTGGGAGTAGGGGGAAAGCGTCCAACTGCTGAAGAAGACTCCTAGAGATCGGACGAAAGTGTTGGGCGAGTAATCAGATTTGCTCAAGGGCCGGCCTCGCTTTTAACTAACCGCATCACCAGACATAATACGCCCCGACTTTCTCCTTTTCGGCCGCTGCTGCGACTTCCCCTCACTAGAGAGCCCGGACAAAAGAAAAATTGCGAGCTCTAACTGCGAGCTTGCGCAACGCCACAAGCGCCCGGGCCCAACGAACAGCTCTCACCGCCAACTTCCTTCTCAAGGCCTTTTGTTTTGTCCCACCACTGCTAGCGCCGAAGCCCATTCAAGCTTCCCGAGACTAGTGGAGAGCGTGATCACTCGCATCACTCTAATTCGGTTCTCGGCCCAAATCACACTTTATCCGCAGCCCGAGCTTGACTATATATATACATCTGCAGCGCCCACAGCCGCAGCGGCAGGCGGAAGTCAGTCAGGCGGCAGGCGGGCGGGCGGGCGGGCGGACGGGCGCAGCGCTCATCCCGAGTTCCGGCCCCGGCCCCGGCCCGCCCAACTTCCCCTCGAGCTGTGCTGTGCCTCCAGGCCTCGAGGAATTCCAGCACCAAGCGCTTGGCCCGAACGACGCGATACGACACTCGTCTCGCAGTAGGGGGGATAGGCTGGGCTTAGCCTGCCTATTATTGCCATTGTTTTTTAAGGGATGCCCCCAAACACCGGCTAACTTCATTTGTGCAATTAACGACCCAGGCCCAGACCCAGAGGGAGGCGCGTAACGATTCGAGCGGCATCTTTGAGGACAAAGATCTGAAACTATGGCTAAGCTCCATATAATCCAGCTCTGGTCTCTCCTAATAAAAGGAGGAACCCGCCCTGAGCCATCACCTGCTGCTGATCAACAACCCGCCATCGCAATGTACACAGAGAAGGAAGGGAAGGCCGTGACCAGAACTACTGCTATACTAGAACTGCTCGTCTCCTTGGCCCTGATTCGGGTGGGTTTCCTTTTTGTCTTTTCTTTCTGCCGCCGTTCTTGGCCTTACTCGCTACACAAGTTGGCATGGCCGCTATAAAGCTGCCGTAGCTATGGCTACTGGCATCCAGCATCGTTCGTGAAGGAGTGACTGCAGTCACCTCCTCTCAATTATTATTTTACCCATCGGAGCTAAACAAGAGTGCGTCTTTCGCTTCGTACTACATGGTCCTCTGTAGGCCAGTAAAACTTGGCGGGTGTATATCACGGCCATGTGCTAAGCTTTACCGCAGCGAACAAGTAATGGTCGTGGCGGGCAACATATATGGAGCGAGCGAGAGGTCAACAAAGGGTAGGAATCTTCCATCACGAGATTACATGGTACGTAAGAGTCCGAAGCGAGCGAGCGACGAACTTGTGCAGTCAGCCCAAGGCGAGATCCGTGTGCAACTTATATTCTTTACGTCGTTGGCTGGCAGGCCGAAGACGAGTGGCCAATTTCATTGCTAGCTAGCGCTAGTGTGACCTCAAATATGTCATTACTTTGTTTATGTCCTTCGGCCTGGGAATTGAATTCAGAGAGAATAATATTCACGCAGTTAGTTAGTTGGTAGACAAGTGGTCCTAGCTAGATCTAGTAGGACCCACGGTAAGTGGTACTCATGGTGTAGCAAGGGAAGATGAAGAGATATGATATGAGCGGGTAGTTAGCTCCGAGAGTAGTTAGTTCGGAGAAATAGCTATAATTAGCTCCAGTATACATGGCTACAGTTTTGTACCGAGTACCAACAACAACGACAACAACCGAAGGATCTCGCGCTCTCGCGCTCTCTCGGCGGCGCTACTCGTTGCTATCACTCGCAGGGTAGACTTTACACTGTACTCATGAAATCATCATTTGGGGAGCCTCCATATTCCTGCAGGAACGACCGCCATTCGCATGGTTTCCGTTCCGTTCCGATCACGATCGAAGTCCGATGCTCCATGTTCTCCGCCACTGTTCTTCTCCACAACTGCTCCGAACCCACTCGAATCGGCCCCGCCCACCCCACTCCACTCCTCTCCCCCCCCCCCCCCCCCCCCCAACGCACCGCACCCGACCATCGAATAATTCCCCAGCAATATGAAAAATGCCGGCTGTTCATGATATTGCCTCCCTCCCCTCCTTCCGCCCTGCCAGCAATCTATTGTCATTCATCATCCATGGTGCCTTGGGGGACCACCCCCATTTATCTACCCACTACTTCGCTTTCCCGTCCCCATCTTTCAGGGAGGACCACTGCACACATGATTTTTCTTCGCCAAGGCGTAGTGGTATGTACAGCCAATAAATCCGCCCATTTAATTATCCTGATCGTCGAATCGCATATCTTCCCTCCTTCCCGAACCCGAATCCCATGATCCCCATCCCATCGGCTTCTGCTCGCCCGATTTCGGCTCACGCTCGCAGCCAGAGGGAGAGAGTTAGGTGGTATGATAGCCGATGCGCTCCGTGGCCGCGACATGGCGAGAAGTCAAACTCTCGTTGTTCGGCAATACCGCGGTCTGGTCAGGGGGATGCTGCTGCTCATGGTGGGGTCTGGGCTGGGCTGCTTGTCTTTCCCCACATCCAATGTAGTCGGAGGTCGGTAGGAGGTGCCAGAAGACATAGAGAGAGAGCCTGCGCAAGAGAGTTCGAGGTGTTATGAAGAGGCCGGATTGTTTTTCTCGGGGACTTGAAGGTGAACGGATCGAGAACGCTCTCATGAATCCGAATCCTGCTAAGTCTATTATGGCCGATTAAAGCTGGTGGGGGGCTCATGGGCCTTGCGTTGGCAACGAAGCGCATTATTTAAGCCGGGGGGATTCAATTTTGCAGTTGAGGTTAGTAGGATTCATTTGGGTACTTGCCAAGTTCCGCATAGATTTGGGAGCGCAGAGAACGGATCTGGGAGATTTGATATGTCCCTAATGTGGAGGCAGGATCAGCCAAGAGTAGATAGAAAGAAGATAAAAAAAGATACGCTGCTCGCAACATATAATAGCGTACTAAGGGGGAGAGACCGTCGCTTTTTTTCCTCGCCATACCAACGAACATGGCTCACCATCAAGAGAGAACATGGGATGTCGTTGGCATATCATATCCATTTAGATCGCCCATGTGAAAAGGGCAGAATCCTGCACTCCTTTTGGTTCCCCAACATGTCAAAGTACATTGTATGGTAGGCCTTAAGTATTCTTGCGAGCAAAAGAGGAGGCAGCGTTCAATCAATCAATCAAACTACTAGCACACCGAGCACTTGCGAGTTCCTCATGCGCTGTGTGCATCTTGATGAGGCTGTTCTCGTACCTGGGAATCACGAGCCTCGGCTGTGGTGGACTAGACTGGACGAACTGGCCGAACTGGACTGGACTGGACTGGACTGGACTGCCGAATGATGAATGAAGGCGACGACGAACGAGAAGAAGCAGTCCAAGGGGGACAACATTTAGGACAGCCGTATCAAGTGGTGTATGTGTCTTGTACTTTTCTTAGCCCGGCCCCCGAGCGTAGGGTCAAGTCCACACTACGCTACACGCCCACTTACCCCCGCGCCCCCGACCCTTCCCGCCGATCTTTTACCACGCCCGATACCGGTGGTGTACCACCACAAGCACCCGGAGCCCAGCCATGCTGTGGCAAGTGTTCCTGCATGAGGACCTGCGAGATAACATTTATTGTGGTGTTTTTCTCGGGTCCCGTGTAGGGGTGCTGCCAAAACTCCCTTGCGTCGTGGTTGTTAAATGTTAGTGTCAGCGGCTCGCCCTCTTTTTCAACTTTCCTTTCCCTCCTTCGCCCGCCCCCGCTCCCCCCGTCGTTATGAGCATTTGCCCGCATCCCACCAGCGGCCGAGCAGCGGGCGAGGCCGCTTGTCTTATTACTGTCCCGCTGCAGGACGGTAAGAACCATAGCCCTCGCTTTCTTTTCCACTTGCATCCGGCGGTCAGACGGGTGAATCCCCGCCTTTCTACCGCTGTACAAACGCACCCGCTCGCCTCCTCTATATAGTATCTATCCAGAGGCACCGGGGGGCTGCTGGAACACGGAATGCTTCCGGCGGGCCAAGCAAAGCGTGGAATCCATCTTTCTTTCTTCTTTTCTTTCTGTCTCTCTGTCTTTCTGTCTTTCGTCGCTCGCTCGCTCGCTCGCTCTCTTTTCGTTCCCCCGTCGCAGTCAGGCCGCGACCCAACTACCTTCTCGGTATTGGAATGGCGTGACTGACTGCTGCCATCAGCGTTCTCGCGATCGCCATCACCAGGAACGATGCAGAGTGTGTCATTGTGACTCATACACATACTTTTCGAAGTGATGTGCACATGCATGCGCAAACTCCGAAGAATCAAAGCCGGTGCTCTTCCTTCCCATGCACAGAGCGAGACCGACTCACTCACTCTAGACTCAATTATTCAATGCATTCTTTTTTAAAATAATATTCTGTCGGACCCCCACCTCTCTCCTCTCCTCTCCGCCCCGCTCCGCTCCGCTGCTCTCTGCTCACTAAATACCAACTAATTCCTGCTCAATCAAGAGTCACATCTCTCTAGGTTAATTCTCCTCTTTTTGCGACATATTTACCTCTCGAGTACGTCACCTGCCTGAGGGCCTGAGAGCCAGAGCAGAGCAGAGCAGAGCTGAGCTGCCCTGGGCCTGGGCTGGCCTGCGGGCCTGATGGACGAGCTCGGACGAATTGGCTTCTCCACCTGCCGCTCTCCTCATTCGCATTCGAGCGCGCGAGCGCGAGCGAGAACCAGAGATCCCCAAGGCTTGCACACTCACCAGGTGGTTTTCGCCAACGCCTGTCAGAACCCATGTTCCGGACTGCTCAAGGAACCATGGTTAGTCAGGCTGTACCACGTTCGCTCGAGATCTGACGTGGTTCGATCTGAACCTGTCACCGGCGACTGAAACCACGTTACTGTACGAATGTAGGGCCACCAGCTTCTTGTCGGATAGTGAACGGATGGATTCCTCCGAAAAGGGAAGGGACCGGCCGGCTGGCAGGCAGGTATCCGGCAGTGCCGCAGGCCGCAGGTAGGCAGCGCAGAAAGGGGAGCGCAGACAATGGCCCCGACGCCACCTTGCGACGGACGGACGGACGGACGACGGACCTCGCTCCGTCGAGCCCCAAAAAGCTGCACCGGGCCCTGAGACCTGACTCGCACTACACGGGTGGGTGGAGGACGGGTGTGGTCGAGTTAAGCCAGTTAAGGCCCGTCTCCATTCCCGGAGAATGTTCTCGCGCATCTTCGGCCCCTCGCCGTCCGATGCGTGCGATGCGAACGTGCGGGCGCCAGAAGGCCGCAGGCGAAGAAGAAGTAGAAGAAGAAGAAGAGTTGCGTGAAGAGAGAGACGCAACGCGCTCTGCGGCGATGGCGCATTTATGATACGCTGAAGAGCAGGGCGAGGCCGAGGACGAGGACGAGGGACGAGTGTGAGGGCCTCAGGCCGCGCTAAGCTCCGCTCAGCTAAGCTAAAGGCTAAAGGGGCTAAAAAAGCGCCCCGGCCACGAAGACCAGACTAGGGACAGGTAGGGAAATGGCGAGTGGAGGTTGGGCAGACAACGCCGGACGGAAGAGCGTCGGGCAGGGGCAGGCGCGAGGGGCAGGGCGCTTAAATGGTTGTTGCGTGGCAGTCCCCGACCGCGTTAAAGCATGTTGCATCTGCCGGGAACCGGGATACCGGCCGTCCCCCCCTCGGCGCCTGATTATAAAAAATTACAACTAAGGAAGGCCGTTACGATTATGCCTAATTTGACAGTTTTGACTCCACTCGAGTCCCTGGTGGATGGATGTGGCGACGTACAGTCAGTGCGGGCATGCGTCCCCTGGGTTCCGGCACCCGGCTCCTCAAACGGACGCACGGATCGCCTCGCCAGCCGCGTTCCGTGGCTCCGTAGCTCTGCAGACCGTTCGCGATGGTTCTCTCCGCCGCTAGGGTAGGACACCACCCCCGCCCTAGGGCACGTAAACCAAGTTCCCCCGCTCTCCCTCGGGCATCCTCCTCCAAGGTAGGAAAATACTAGAACTCCGAACCCGCCGTAGCGCTGCCCCCCGCCCCCCGGTGCGCCGCAAGGACACGCTTTCCGTAACGTTATCTCTCTACATCTGACTTTCACGGTCTTCCGGCGCTCGCCCGGCACAAGATCTAATGCGCGAGTCTGTTCGATTCGGTTCCATTCAAATCGGTTAATATACGGCCAGATTCCAGCCTGACGGTGAACGGGCAACTGGCCCTCGCAAACCCCATCCAACTGTCAAACTACCGCACCACCGGACGGCCAGACAGCCAGCGGGACCCTTCGTTTCCCCTAGCCTCCTCCACGCCCCCTCTTGCAAGAGCGAGACGGGGCCGCATGATGAGCTTGCCCGTTGCCACGGTTGTTGCCCGGGTGTCATCGCTCGGTTTGATAAAGGCCCTCGAGGCCGAAATTAATTGTAAAATATGATGGGCCGTGGACGAGGAAGGGGGGTTAGGCTAAGCGGGGTTAGGCACATTAATCATTCTGGGCAACAGCGGTGGAAGTTGGAATGAATGATGCGGGGCGGGGGGAAAAGGGGTTGCGGGGGTGAGCCTGGAGGGGATCGGAATGGGATTTGGGAATGGACCAGGCCAAATCGCGACTACAGTGGAACAGTGGATGCAATAAATTTGACTGAAAGAGCAGAGAGGCGAGAGGAGCTGCGGAAACAAAATCAAGTACCAGGTGATTGAGGCCAAACAGTAACCAGAAAGATACCAATAAACAATCCATGAACACGAGATCCCATTGGCCAACAGCCGAAGAATGTTTGATTCTTGAATCTCGAGTGTGTGTGCATGGTTGTTTTGTTTCATGCTCATGGGGGCTCTCCGAAGTTGATGATTGGTTCGGGTTCATGCGCTTCTTGCATGTTCATGATTGGTTTGGCTCCATTTCATGCTTGCGGACCTCAGCTTTGTCTCTTTGGGCGCCTTTCGATCCCCCTACTGTAGTCGAGGCGAGCGATGCGCCCAGCAGTTGCTCTCCCTCCCTCCCTCTCCGCATCTCTCTCTCTCTCTCTCTCTCTCTCGCCCTCGCTCTCCCGCTCCCTCCTTCGGAACGAGAGGCGAGAAGGGGGGGCTGTACTTTTGGAACCTCCAACCCCTTGAATCACTGCTGCCGCTGCCGCTGCTCCTGCCGCTGCTGCTGCAGCGCACACACCCCCCGTACCAGTATCACATCATTCAATTCCATTCCTCTCGCCTCACGACGTCACTTGTAAGTCTGCGAAAATATTCCCTCGCTCGAGCCCTCCCCCCAGATGCGATATGCTGCGGTGAGGCAGAATTCGTCACTCGCTTGGGCTCGCCTTCTTTCTACACAGTTGACATGTCTGCCGCTCGCACAGTGAATCCCGACCTCATGACGGCAGTCACGTGGTTCTCCTCGGGCGAGTTCATCCGCATTACCGATTTGTATTGATTCGACACCGCACAGCCCAGCCCAGCACAGCACATCGCATCCCGCTGCGCTTTTACTCTTTTCTGCAAACATCAAGGGGCTGCACAGCGTCGAGAGAAGTTGGCACTTGCACCAACAAACAAGAGACGCCATTAATTATATTCTTAAACAACTGGTAACCAATTTGGCCCTCGAATGAATATATCTTGGACCCCGCTCTTGTTTTTTTCTTTCCTCTCTCTCTCTCTCCCCTCTCTCTCTCTCTCCCTCCCTCTTGACTCGTTCAACTCTCTCTCTCTTCCTCTCTCTCTCTCTCACTCGCTCACTCTCTCGAGTGAGTATGCCAATTACTGTTGGGCTGTTGGCGAGGATGTTGGCCCAAATCGTCGCAACGTATCCGAGCGCGAGATTTATGACTCCATAAGCTGCCTCGAGCGAATAACCCAAAGATTAACACGGACTTTAAAACAACACGGTTTGGGAAGCCTATCGTCAAATTTACATCACCCTGCATATTTTAAGTTATCTTGTGGGCTCGGGGAGGAGATCGACGAGAAAGGGGTCGCAACAAAAGCCAAGACCACTTTGGAGCAATCCTGTCGGCCGCTGCGCCCATCTTTGTTTATGATCACTGTTTACGGTACAAGCCATTCCAAACCTGGCACCCCCTTAATCCCCTAAACTAAACCCACACGAGCTAGCGCATTGATGAATGTGCGACACCATTTAAATATCTCGTGCCTCCTGCGTCCGCAACCATGGGGAGACAAAGCCCACTGCTCTCCAGACCAGACCACCATATGCCCACCCCTCCCTCAGCCCCATCCCCATCCCCCATCCCCCATCCCATCCAATGCATGCCCTCCCCCTCCCCCCGTCGGAGGCTCGGAGCCCCGCCCAAGCCCAAGCCCAACCCCGGGCCAGGCCAGCCGCTCGCACCGTGGCGCATGTGGCCCCGGAACTCTACCGCGGTCTAGGCCTAGTGTTGGCTAAAGCAGGGCTTCTGCGGGCTAGGCCGGGCTTGCTGACTAGAGTCAGGACAGAACACCAATGGTTCTGTTCTTATCTTTCAAGAACAAGATGAAAGCCTTATTCGGTCAAGGAGACAGCAGCCTTTAAATCTACAAGAACAAACAAACAAATGTCTGTCAACCCTCCTGTAAACACCGTGGACATGTCCTTCCTTTTCCCACCGGCGTCGTTTCCTTGAAGCTTCTCTTGTCCCCGCTCACTGGCCCCAAGCCCCAAGCCCCTTCCCTTTCCTTTCCTTTCCTCTCCTCTCCTCTCCTCTGCTTTCCTTCGCTCTGCTCCGCTTCGCTTTGCTTTGCTTTTCTGCGCCGCTCGATGGATTCCCCGAATGCAGCATTTCCGGCGTTTGACTCCCTGAGCAGTAATCTGCTGCCAGCCGCGCCCCGCCCCCACTCCCCTCCTCATCCTCTTGCTCTTCGTCTCCATCTCAACTTTTCGCGTACAATCATCAGTCGCTGCGAGTGTTGACAACGGAACCTCTTTCGTACAAGCAATATTTTAACACGAGGGCTTCTCCTGCCGAGCTGCTTCTTATTCTATTCTTAAAAGAACGAAAGATTCAAACCCCTCCCTGCCCTGCCCTGCCTGCCAGGCCCTCCACTTTACTTCTCGGCTCGCCGCTCGGATCATGAAGGTTCCGGGCATCGCTTCATCCCCGTGGACCGGAAGAAGGCTCGAAATCCTTGCCCCTCCTAGTTTTACACCACCAGCTCGAAGATCCGCGGACTGCCCCCCAGACGAGGCAAGAGTGGAACATTGCTCTTATAGTGAAGGACTCGGAGGCACTGTAGGGAGAGGAGGGGAGCGGGGCTGGGCTTATACCCGGGCTTATGAAGCGCTCGGACCGTGAACTTGGTCGAGAAGAATCCGGTGTGCCAAGCGGAGAGTGTGGGGCTGGGGCTGGGGCTGGGGCTGGATACGCACATTAATGGCAGGGGAACACACCAACTATTCATCCGGATTAGACTACTGTACAGTACAGTAGTCTGGGGGGTCGGCCTGACGCAGTTACGGTGAAA